TCACCAAAGTTAGTTGGCAAAAAGAATCTACTTCGAGCTGGTCGTTCCATATCTTATTCAAGCTCTTCACATGTTCAATTACCAAACGCTCTAATTTGGGGAATGCCACCTAAAGATTTACACAATTCAATTAAAATTAAACATAATTATAGATGTAATGGAATGAAAATATTAGAATCTAATTTTTTTCAAATGTAAAACTTTAAGAAAATAATAATAGCATTATAAGATATTAAGAGCAAAAAATAAAGGGAAAAAAATAAAGGAGAAATCACCTTTGCATCAAAGAGAGAAAGTGTACAAGTGTTTTTGACATTTTCAGAACTAGCTATCATGTCTCCAAAAAAGAAGCTAGAGATGAAAGTCTTCAGCACAGGGCACTTGCTTATCTTAAGTTTCCAAAGGCATGGTAATTCCAAGTAATTTCCATAACAAAATCTTGTGAGTTTTGGAAGGTCTTGGAGCAGTAGGAACTCCAGGTTAGGGAAGAAAATCTTGCACATCCTTTCCTCATCCATTGATTCTTCTACATGTATTACCTCTTCCATCATATTACAATCACAAATCTTGAGCCAATTCAGTTGCTCAAAACTCTTAACCATGGAGGATGTCAATAGATATTCCAAATTACCACAACCCTCCACACACAACTTTCTTAAATTTTGGACACAAGAAGAGAGTTCTAGAATTGAATTGTCCAAAATTTGTTGAATGTTATTTGAAGACAAACTCATAAACTTCAAGTTAGGAGTCTCTACCTGCAAAGATTCTTAGTCAGTCTATTAATATAAAACAACAGGAAGATGACTATCATATTTGCTTAATTGTAACTGAAGACAACTTCAAAAACTCCAAGTGGAGAAAAACTCAACCTAATAGAAACTTCATGCTAATAGAAACCTCATGAAAAAGTTCTTTTTTTTTTTAATTGATTAAAGGATAATCCAAAAGCAAGAACATGAAAATGATGTGCAATTATGTGAAGTAAATTGATATTTTGAGTAGAAATTAGCCAACTCTTTTTAGACTTAAACATTATTTGGGTCAATGCACGGCAAAAAAGAAAAAAAATATTATTTGGATCAATAATCCTATTTTTAAACTTGAGTAACTTCACATTTTAAGTGGTGATGTACCAGCCAAGAGTCTTTATTTTCTAACCGTATATTAAGTGGAACTTATCTGGGAGATTCATTTATGTGGTTAAAGAGGTGGCTAGAGATGGTAACACTGACATGCGAAAAGCAAACATAAATATGCTGCAAAATCTTAATTACAAAAAATAAATATAAAAAATA